GGATAAGCCATTCTTCCATGCTGCTTGAAGACTGGGGGCGTGATCAGTTCCTCCTCCATCCTGTGTGAGTGCGAATCTCCGGGGGTCACCATTTGTAGGGTTTCGTGATATAATATTGTCTAGCACTCAGGATGGATGGAAACTCTAAGGTGGTTTTCTTGTATAATATAAGTTATATGATAGACAGTCTGGTGCTGGAGGTGCCGTGTGGTGAGGAGCTGCTCAGTAGACACGTTCGGTGGGTAGCGTGTTGAAGGAGGTAGATGTGCAGGAGCTTCGTTAGAGAAGATGTTGCCTGTTGCTGGCCTCCAGGTTGAATGAGAACGGGACAGCGAGGAGCTTGCTTGGAGGAGGTGTTGCGTGTTCAGGAACCGAGAGCAGAATAAGAGAGCTGGTTGGTGAGGACGCTCAGAGAATGAAAGCTGGTGGGTCGCCATGCTCGCCGGCGGGAGCGAGGACCGCCAGGCAGGTGGAGGAGAAGCGAGGGCCGCCAGGCAGCGGCGGAGGAGGAGGTGTTGCGTGTTCAAGAAGAAAGGCCAGAATGAATCTCAATGGAGAGACAGAGCTTATATACCCAGCAGCCGTGAGTCATCCGTGAGTCAACCTGGGAAACCCCAGGAAGTAGCCGGTCTTTTGGCTCCGTTGCTAGGATACTGTGGCATCTGGTGACGCCCCCCCCCCCCTGGGCCGCTCGTTTGGTTGCTAGGGAAGATGTAGCAGGTGGTATGCAGCTACGCAGTTGTAGGGGAGACGTCCACTACAGTAGTAACAACAACAACAACGATGATAGTAACAGCAGGCGTGGTAATATTACCAACAACAACAGTGGCTGTAACAACAGCATCTGTGGTAATAACAATAACAACAACAGTAATAGTTAAGAGTATAGTGGTTATCCCAACAGCATTCATAGCACCATCTGTGGTCCAAGAATATCAACAACAACCATAATGGTAACAAAAGTACGCAAAAGGTTCATCAGTTGTGCACACTTTAATCTGCCGATTATTTTTTATACATTTTTATGAACATATAGTCACATGTTTACATACATAATAACAATAAAATGTAAGCACTTTGTTTTTCTAATTATCCATTTCCTAATTTATTTCAACATATCGCTAATACGCGCAGCATGTAACCTCATAAAAAAGATATATTAACCTACCTCACTACTTACTGACAACCTTTAAAGAGGCTGCATTGGCCACTCTGAGTATCTCAGCTCTGGTCAGTGCAATCTGGGTTCAGTGTGCTGTGATTTTAGGAAAGTCTATTTGTAACTTTTAGCCAGTGGCATCGTGCTGTAGGGACCTGGTGAGGGTTCTGTCTCCATTTAAAAAATAAAAATTAAATAAAGGCTAAAGACAACAGTATACTTCTGGCCCCCAAATTTTGGTCTGATTAAATTTTTGCTGACCATCCACCAATATCTTTACTGAATGGCCGCTCTTTCTTTCCTGGTTTGTCCCTCAATATACCATTTAGCTGGTCGCCACTTACCACTGACAGTTTCCTCTCTCCGTGTATTTATCGATCCATATATTACTTCTTCTTTTTTCTGTGACTCGGTTTATCTCTTATTTCTCCATTTTCTGACACAACAACCATTAAATAATTGCAAATTCTTCTTCCTCCATTCTATCGTGGTTCAACAAACATTTATCTTCCCTTGTTTCCTCGTTCTACTTATTATTTTTTTTTCACATTTGCAGTCCTCCAAATCCTTGTATACACTATTTCAATTTCATTCACAAACATTTTCCTGGGGCCAGGAAAGCTGAAGACGTTGGTGAAGAGTGGAGCAAATGGTTGATAAGTGCCAGGACCCCAAGTAGGTATACTGTACTTGGGCTCTGCTAGCATTTACAACCAATCTTCTATATTCCCACTAGAGTAGTGGCATCTTCATAGCTATACTTCCTCGCCATCTATTAACATCCTCTATCATTATTAAAAATTTTTAAACTTCTCTCTATATCTCTTGTCACCATCACTATTACTAATCTATCCATTAAGATAGTGAACAACCATCCATGGTAACATTACCCGTCCTTGACCAACACTTATAATACTTTCATTGAGAACCAGCTTACTTCTTCCTCTGGAAGGCATGCAACAGTTCCCCAATCTCTCTAATCTCTATATACTTTCAATGTGTACCGTGTCACTTTTCTATCAGCTTTATCATATATCTTTTTCTAAATCCATGAATCTTAAAGGCAAATTCTTTCACTCCTCCGAAACTTTTCAACCATGTTCCTTAACACCATTTTCATCTACAAGACATCGTCTTTTCTGAATTAACATTATTCTCCTTTAAGACGCTCTGGTATTTTGCAAAAATTGTATCACTAATGAATGACTCTACCATACTTTTTCCCTGGTACAATCAAGACCCATTCATCTATAATTTTCATAATGGTGCATCTGCTATTGGTGTCACACTTCTTGAGCTTAATTACAGCCGGCCTCACCTCCCTCTCCTTTTCCACCTCCTTAATTACGCTGTTTTTTAATGTTATGTGCATTCGTGCATCTTCAGTTATGAGGACTATTTATCATGCATACCTCTGAGAATCACTACACCACTTCACGTGTTGTAGCTCCCCTAGAAGTGTTACGAATCTAGAATTTTGGGGGCTTGGCCCCAGTGGTCGGCTCCCCATCCACCTGATTTGCTGTTTCCCTGCACTGCAACAGTTTTAAGGCAGATAACTGACATTTGGTATGCTTGTGTAAGTATCTCCAATAATATTCAATAATGTCTAAATTAGGGGGTTGCTCCGTTGAGGACCGACCCCCACCAAAAAGTAGGCCTCCTGCACAACACAACTGTTTTAACTTAGCTGAAATTTGGTATGGTTATTTTTTGCATGTGCACTTTATTTTGGCCTCTAATTCCAGGGGTGGGCCCCTGAGAGGCAAGGCACAAGGGAGGCCCGGGGTAGAACCTTTGGGCACGGTATAAGGGAGGCCCTGAATAGAACTTCGGGACACGGCACAAGGGAGGTCCGGGGTAGAACCTTGGGGCAGGCGACTATGAGCTTGGTGGGACTCTTTGATTTGACACGATCATTATTCAGGCAGACTAGTAAATACATTGCTCTCTACCAGAAAACACAATAAACATCATACCACTTCATAACAAGTGCACCTGAGTGGAGTGAAATTTCCAGTACAACGTACTCAATTCCCATATCTTTGCGTTTTCTGTAATTATGTAAATATTTATTTATAAAAAATCATTTTCCATTTTCTTAAACGTGTACTTTTGAATATAAAAAATGCTCACGGCTACTTTACTCAAGCATGGTGAAACCAAACAACAAAAAGACGAGACTTCACTATAGATAAAGTACAATGAGTAAAGACTAGAATTATCCTCGAAATAATGCCTTTCGAATGTCCAAATAGGCTAAGTGTTTTGCGACTGGTAGCTCCTCAAACAGACCTAAGGGAGATGACATTGAATCAAAGACACTTGTAACATATTTGTGCATCACCTTAGAAATTTATCAATATTGTCCCAAGAGTAAATGGTTTTCGTAAGATTTTTTTGTGCTATGTACGTAGTATGCGGTCTACCGAACTGGTGCTAAGATAGTATGCGGTTGTGGGGTATGGGATGTTTGGTTCACACTCAGGATGGGATGGAGAAAGGAAACTCACAATGTGCTCTCATGTATACATGTTGTATTGGATGTACAATGCAGCTTGATGCTGGGAAGGCAGCATGGTTACAAGCGTGATGTAGAGAGAGCTGGTTGGTGAGGGTGCTCAGAGGAGGACAGCTTGTGGGTCGCCATGCTCGCCGGCGGGAGCGAGGACCGCCAGGCAGGCGGAGGAGGAGGAGGTGTAGCTGGCTGGTTGGTGTAGGTAGAAAGAGAGCGGTCACCACGAGGTCAGGTCTTTTATAGCGGAGGTAGGCGTAGGTAGATAGTTGACTCCTGCTCCGTGGGCGGCGCTGGTTGACCTAGACCACGAGGCATACACTGGGGAATTCGCGGGATCGGCTACTCAGCGACAAACAGCGTTTGTAGGGGAGAAATCCACTACACGGTCTACCGAGCTGGTGCTACTTGAGTGTGCAGTCTACCGAGCTGGTGCTACTATAGTGTGCTGTCTACCGAGCTGGTGCTACTACTGTATATTATACTGTCTACCGAGCTGAAGCTGTTCTACCAAGATATTTACACAATAGCATCCATTAACCTAACCTAGGTTAGGTTAGGTTAAGATGGGTTAAGTTAAGTTAAGTTAGGTAAGGTTAAGATAAAATTAATTTAGGTTAGGTTAGGTTGGGTTGGGTTAATAAACGCTACAGTGTAAATATCCCGGTAGACCGCCTCCAGCTTGGTAGACCGCATATTATACAGAAGTACATTTTTTGTATTCTGTACCGGTATTAATTGTTCATGAAATGTTCTACCACGTTCAGTCAAACAATGTTAATATAAAGCTGTTTTTAAATGACAAGTAAAATAATGTTTATGGAGCTAGGTGTTCAGAATTAATATATTTTGAAATTAACTTTTAACTTTATTCCTATCGTATTTTCTTTCACCTTGTTGCCTACAATCATCTTGAATTTGTTCTTGAGGACCACATGAGCTATAAGTGACGCATACTTTTTTGTGTCATCCTCTGTAAATGATTGAATATATATGAAGTTATGGATTTTTATCCAATCCAATCCAATCAACTCACATAAAAGCAAATCAAAGGTATTTTAGAAAGCAGTGTAGAACGAAGGTAGGGGTGCAGGTAGTTGAGTTACTCCTAACTTGAAAAGAAAACAGTTACTTACGTGCAGTGGTGCCAAGTGAGATAAATACTCACGGCGTTTTAGTTGAGAATAACCCTACAAATAGTGGTTCAATATACATATTTATATGAAATAATGAAACAGAATATATTCATAGTTTGTTAAATTATTTTATAAGAAATTTTGATGAGAGACTTGGGCCCTTCTCGGTCGTGGTGCAGGGGGACTCAGTCGTTGGGTCTGGCAGTGTTGTTGAGATGGCCGAGACGTAAACAAACAGGTCGGGTGAAGGCTTCATTTCTCCAACCAGTTTTAAGGGCGCCCTGTAGCTCTCTCTCCACATTCTTATACGGTAACGCTACTCTACAATACACTACATCAGTTTGGCCTATTCACTTATGGCCTGCAGTAAGGTAGTGCATGTTTGAGGTAGTGGAAAGATCCGTAGGAGGAATGAGTGAAGGTGCGTCCCGCCGTAACTCTTTCTTTTTTCCGAATTTTGGCCGTAATTTGTGAGTACTATTATAATTAACTGGTATTTAGTAAACTTTATGTTTTATAAACATGTCTGGAATGCCACCTTAAAAAGAAAAACAAAAGGTGAATTATAAGTGACAAATATGTGAGTTTGCACCTGGATCTGAACAAAGTTAACAAATGACTTGGTAACATTTATAATAAATGTTTGACCAAAGACGTTTATTAAAATGGTAAAGGTTAAGAAGATGAAAGCCACTTTATTTATTATTTGTTTTATTATTATTTCACCTGTTGCCACCCTAAGATTTTTGATAATTTTATGGTTGCAATGAGTAGTTTAGACAATTCTAAGACACTTCTTTTATACATGGCCCAATATGAAACTGCCCAGTGTTGTGTGTGAGAGGTGAGAAACTACTTGCATATCCTCTGCTTGTCTTTGCTGATAGTAATGGGAGCATTTATTTGTTCACCTGAAATTAAGATTACATCTATAAGTGCAGCATCAAATATATAAATAAGAAATAATTGATCTCGACAGAGGTGTGGAACATGTGAATGATTGGGGTTGATGGGGTATCTTTATCCAAGTCAAAATCCTGTATACAGAATAAACAAGACAACATATATCTAAGACACAGATCCGTATTGATAGATGGTATAAGTTCTAGAAACAGATCTAGTTTGAGAGTTAGGGGGAAGGGAAAAATGAGAAGAAGAGTGAAGAGTAGAATCATCAGTGTAAGAATGGATAGAATTAGTAGTAGTGTGAAATATATCATTGATAAAAAGAAAGAAAAGAGTAGGTGGAAAAACAGAACCCTGTGTAACACCACTATTGTTAGAGAAAGAGTGAGAGATCGATCCCTCGACAACAACTGCTATGGATCGGTTCTTAAGGAAGCTAGAAATTGGAGAACAAAGTGGGGGATAGAAACCATAAGAGAGAAGTTTAGAAAGCAAAGACTTGTGCCATACCCTGTCAAATGCTTTGGAGATGTTGATGGCCACGACGAAGGTTCCCCATAATCCCTAAGAGAGGATGACCAAAGATGGGTGCAGTAGGAGAGCAGATCACCAGTAGATCTCGCCTGGCAAAAGCCATACTGGTGATACGACAAAAGAGAAAAGCATTCAAGATGACGGATAAAATGAGAGTTTAGGTTAGTTTCGAAAATCTTAGAGGGGGATGAAGTTAGGGCAATGGGGCAATAGTTAGAGGGATTAGAATGGTCACCCGTCTTCAGGATGGGCTGAGCCGAGGCATGCTTCCAAGAAGTAGTTTGGGTTTTGAGGCAAAGGCAAAAGAGGCGAGCAAGCACATGGGTCAGAATTTCAGAACACGAAGGGGTATTCCCTCTGGTCCATGTGCCTTAAGGTGGCAGCACATTGGGTACTTTCCTCCAAACATGTTGCCCATTTTGCTGGCTGTTGGCTTAAACATCCAGCTAGCAGCAGGATTTCTGCTGTTGCTAGAAATGGACAACAGTTTGGTGGGGATCTTTGCTGGCCTGATTAGTGCTCAAATGTGCTTCATATAAATTCATGTACAGTACAGTAAAATTTAAATAAATCATGAAACAAAAATAATTCAAAATATCACACATAAGTTGAAACATTTCTATTTATTCATCACTTTAAAACTTCTTTAGTGTTATTAAATCATTATTCAGGGTTTTCTTTGACCAGCCAGCCACCGTCACTTTTAAAGAAACTTCATGATGCACCCATTGTCTTTTCTTTAGCTTTTGCAGATGCCTCACTTGCTTCAGCAATTGAAGAACTATAGCACAATCCTGCAAGACCTCAAATGTAGTAACGGGATCCATGGCGAATCTAGTCTAGATGTTTTGTTGTTGTTTTCGTTGCATTGGGCAGACACGCCAACAAAACATCCGAGTGTGACGCAAAACATCTCTCTGTTTTGCTGGCTGGACCGTGTTTGCCAAACATTTTGAAGGAAAGTGTCCAGTGTGCTGCCGCCCTTACTCATATCCAGATTGGATAACACACCAGCAGCCTTATGAGTGGAGATTATAGGAAAGTGCATAGTAGGAGTAGGAGGTGCAGAGTTGGAATCGTCTAAGGTGGAGTTAGAGGAGAATAAGGTGCCAAAGAGATTGGCTTTATCAGAGGGAGAGTTGCCTGTAGAATTATCAGGTTGGAAAAGAGGGAGTGCAGAAGTTATTACAGATGTTTTTGGTTAAGGACCAGAAGGATTTACTGGAAAAAGAGTTGGTCAGGTCAGCGGTCTTTCTTTTTATAAAATTCTGCTTAGCCCTACGAAGAATAACCTTACATCGATTCCAAGAAGTAATGAAAGAGGAGTGGGTAACAGAAGGAGATACAGTAGTTTCATAACTTGATACTTCCTATCTCTCCCCCTACACTCAAGAGAACAGGAGCAATCAAACCTATATTGTAAAGTGAAAGTTTTGGTAGAAGATGGGATAAATGCACTCGTACTACCCAGTATAACCCCAGCAATGCTGTCTGCACATACTGAGGCGTCCCAAGTGGAAAAGCAACATTCATCCCAGGGAAAGTCGGAGAAGAATTATCGCAAGGATTGCCAATTTGCCCTCCAGTAGTGCCATAGTTAGCGTTTAGAGGGGGTGGGAGAGGTGGTCCTTGCCCAGTTTGATTTAGTAGAAATAAGAATGTGATCAGAAGACCCTGGGGGGTAGAAATTGAGTATGAATAGTGTGAGGGGTTAGAGGTAAAACAAAGATCAAGAATGTTAGTTAGTTGATCATTTCAGATCATTAAGTAAGGAAAAAGAGAGTGCCTCAGTTTCACCTGGGTCATGCCTTGCAGAGCCAGGCTGCTCTGTGATGTACATTGAAATCCCCTAGGTGCTGGGTTGAAATCGCTCATTTTTTCAAGAGATGTTTGGATGATAGTAAGTAAGAAAATTAGACGGCAATGCACAGGATAGGATGTTAGATGAGGTTAGCTCAGGTTCTAATCAGTTTTGTGCATTGTCATTTGATTTTCTTACTTAGTATCATCCAAACAACATATTGTATCCTAAATTTTTTTGCAATTACATAAATCCTTCTGATATTAACCGTCTCCACCATTACCGTGGAAATAAATAGATTAAGTATCATTGTAATGTCACTTATACTGTCATTAAAGGCTGATTTTAAACATTACAGTATTTAACATTGTTCTCCTTGACAGGCTTTGCTCACCTGATTGGTTTTTCAGGTGAGCAGTTGGTTGTTGTTCTTCATTTTGCTCACATTCAGCATTGGCCTGCAATAAAAGGCAAAATTATCCAAGATTTTAAAATAATTTTTTGGCCTATTTAATATTTATGCAATGCGATAACAGCAGTGGTACTCATACATGAACTGTACAATTGTACATCCGAGATACTATATCTGGATTTGAAACCAATCTGGGACTGCTGGCTCAACATGGGATGCCTTAGGTCATCCAATTTAAACCAAAAACAATTATGTGCTGAATCACAGAACAAAGAATGGTATACAGTTTGCAGTTCTGCCAAATGCCTTTGTGTTAGTACTTAAACATTGTTGTGCATCTGAATCACCATTTTCAAATAATATAGTATTAAAGAAAACTTTTTTCCTACCTTAAGAAACTGCTTGTCAGTGCAGGATTTTTTTTTCATAACTTTTTTCCTATAGCTATAGCTATGCAAGTCCATCCGTCACAATTTTTGTGCTGAAAATAATGATGTCTTACAAACACTTCCACTGACTGCTACATTGTACTGTAACCTTAATTTGGACCAAATCTGCTTATCCTAACCTAAATAAAAGATATTTTGTCATCATTAGATTAGGTTGGTTACTTTGATTCATTTTATTGCTGGAAGCATTTCTATGACAACAACATTTCAAGTGCAAAAATGGTCATGGACGGACATAGCTTATTTATAGAGAACAAAATTACAGAAAATTAAATGAAAAGTGCAATTTCTGCACTCGATTTGCAGTTTCTTGAGGTAAGACAGTTGTCTTTGATAGAATAAAGTGTTGTAGTTATTAGTTAAAGACCAATGATTCAGGTGCACAACTGTTAAATATTACCACTTTTGCTTCTAGACCAGGTAGTACTGTATAGTAAGGCTAATTTGATAAGTGAGAGAGAATTCTACAAGCCTAACAGCTTGTTTGGGACTGGGGTTACATGACATTGTATATCAAGCTTTTAGTACATGAGTACAACCTCTGTTCCCCCAATAGAAGCATTTGATCCCTATTTACAGCTCAAGCCTAAACTGTTTGTAACAACAGAAAAAGGCAAATCAACATAGTCCACCTAATGACCATAGAATAATATGTTGTAGTTAGGTTTGTTTGATTGTTTTGTCACATCATTAATGACTGGCCTTGAGTCTCTCTTTAGTAGTCACATGTTTGTAAGACTGACACTTTCACCATATCTTTGTAAGATTAAATGTCAACTCATTTTGTTCTCTCTAATTAACATAATTTGCATTTTATAAATAAACATATGTGTGCATCAAGATCCCTTAAAAAAATATCTGGAATTTAGATGACTCCCCAAATGTTAAACTTTCCCCATGATTTTATTTCTTGGAGGCAAAATATTTCACTGGTTAGTTTTCACCAACTTTGATTACAAGATTAATATAATTTGTCCATACCCTGTCTTTATGATCATTCCACACAGAAGTGATAGCTAGTGGATGTCTTCCATATGGGTGCTGAAATGTTATGTTGCTTGTTGAAAAAAAAAATACAGTGTAATGGTTTTATTTATCAGCTTACCAGCCATTTGGGCAGTGGGTCTATCCAGTTTTAGTTCAGGAGGAAACCAGGGACTGGGAAAGTTGTGATATTTGGGAGGGTCACACTGGTATAACACCCTTTT